TTCTTGCTCTCAACTACTATGGGACCTTCCCAATTGTCCTAAGTGAAATCTTTAGGATTCTTTTCTCAACATTACAGTTTTTATCTTAGTAGTATATGATATTCCATGGTGAGAATTAAAGGAATTTTTGCAAGTAAAACCTTTCATATTTTGATATTATGGGGTTGATATTTGGAAATCTCATTTTCAAAGGTAACCAGAATGAAAATATCATTCTGATAAAGATTAGTTAATTTGGGGACAAGATGAAAAAATAATCGACAGATGATGCTTATAGGAAGCTTCCTTTTTGCCTTAGGGTTTCAGAAAGGCTCAGTCCATAATTCTTGGGTAAGTACAGGGAAGTTCATAGTGGCAAATGCCTCACTTTGTAGTGTATCCTGTAGCATAAAAACCAAAAACCAAAAGCTGGACAATAACCTTCAAATTCTACTTTTGTTGACCTTTGTCTGCTAGTTAAAGTGTGTATCCTTAAAGTTCTACAAATTCCACAAATATTATCTTGCACTAGAGAGGAAACATTCAAAGTGTTATCTTGTGAGGACATTTAAGAATTACCATAACAAGAAAAGCCCTAAAAACTGTCAAGTGATTAATATAACACTTGAGCTGGACAACTGATTCCCTGATTTTATATGTTTTTTTTCCCTCAGAGCAATTAATATTGATATTTTAACTCAAACTGGTAGTACAATTTCCTCTTCTTTGGAGACTATAGGGATTTTTCCATCCTAAGTTGATAAATGAAGTTCACCATCTGTTTTACTCAGAGTCTGAAATTTTATTCTCACCAGTTAAAGACCCATGTTTGAACTAATTCTTAGCTGTGTATATTGGTCTACCCAGGGTAACATAAAAAGTTAAATAAAACACACACTGTAACCACCTATGAATCACTAGCTTGCTTAATTCTATCCTCCACTCTTCCCCAAGACTGCCCAGTCTCAGCCTGATGTTTGGCAGTGGGTCTCTGAATCTGCTTCTAGCTGCTGCTCGAGCCCTCTCAGGAGACAGTTATGCTAGATTCCTATCTGCAAGCATAGCAGAGTATCATTAATAGTGTCAGGGGTTGGCTCTCAAGTTGGAGCAGTAATTCTGTTTTCATCTGCAACCTGTCTCTGTGAAACTGTCTGGGTAAAACTATCAAAAATCTCCTCCCTCTCCCTCGCCTCCCCCTCCCTGTCTCCTCCCTCTCCCTCTCCCTCCCCTCCACCCCACTCTTTCTCTAGGCTGTTCTCTTATATGCTATCTTTCCTGTCTGTCATGGTGAAAATTGGACATGCTCTGTCTGTGATTCTTCATTCTCTCAAATCTATCCTGATTTGTCCCTTTTCCCCTCAATTAGATATTATGTTCAAACATGGCTGCTTCTTTTTCCAAAAAGCTTTACTTTCATTGTTTGAAATGAAAAGTGTGTACTAAAGGGGTGTCTGTATTCCAGATAGATGGACTAAACATATGCTATTCTAGCTGGATCACATAGACCTAGAAGGCCTTTAGAAGTATCCATTGCCAGAGCAACTATGTTGCTGAATTAAAATTCCTCTACTCTACAGTTTGGTGAATTTTCATAAGCTTGAATATGTTGCATTTGCTTTTTTTTCTAAGAATTTATCATGGGTCTGATATGATCTTCAATATCACTTGTGCAACAGAAACCCTTTTATCTACTAAGAAACAATTCAAGTAACAAAATTTCAATTATCTGTAATTCCAAGTTAACCTTCATTTTCATTGTCCCTAATTTGGAGAAAACTGATCAGATTATTAAGTTTCTAAATCATTAATAACGTACGAATAACCTAGATAGATGTAGCCATGAAAATTTGTATCACCTTCTACTTTACAATGATACAAAAAGTCATGTTTTAATGATTATTACTCTTCTACTCACGGCCTATATCTTACTAAATGAATATTGTTCACCACTGGATAACTGGAAACACAAAACAATCTCAGGGATAGTTCCATGGCTTTTGGAAGTAATTTATTAGTAGTACGGGCAACAGGTCTTAACATTATTTATCAAGCATCAAATGACTCACCCAATTTTTCCTAGTAGTGAAATGTCTTGAGACAGCCATTATTTTCCCAGAGTCAGCAAGGATATTGCATGTTCGTGGTAATTACTCTTCCTCTGTATGTGAATAACTCTTAGTTAGACCTAGCGACAATTGATCTCACACATTGATTGCATTCATACTCAGATTACTCTCTCTTGTCTCAGCATCCCTTCTCACTAGTCTACTTTATCTTCCCAAACAGCTTGCTTCTGGTATATTTATGGTGTTTGTGTAGTAAAATGTCCCACATATTATATAAAATATGTGATATTCATCTTTTTGACTTCACTTAGAAAACCATTTTAATAGGCCACAAAAATATAAATTCATGCAACATACTCAGTTTCTTTGGTCATGGTCTTCCACTGCAGTAAAAATAAATCTAAGACAGAGGGGGAGGGAAGAAGAGAACAATGAAGTGAATATATGGAGAAAAGACTAAAATTAATGGCCATTGAATGGGCAGTAAGAAAATCTAATACATTAGAAGCTTCTTAAAATATATGCATATATGAAGGTAATCTAAATGAAATCACCAGATTATAGCTGTCCAACTGGACTGTCACCAAATGAAACTTTCAGTGCTGGAAATGGGTTACATCTAATTGCGTTATTTGCTAAGAGAGACCTCCAAACAACCGGAACTACTGCCAAGGTTATAGATCCCTCACCACAAAATTATAGCAAGGCCCTATTGCTGAAGAGAGCACCTATAAAACTGATTGAATACAGAGAAGTCAACTGGTTCCTAAAATGAATTTTCACCTCTACAGGCTAGTGTTCTTGGTAACAAAAGGTTCTCTGCACAATACTAAAGCAAAAATATAAATATCAACCCAGCTACAAACACTTTGACCTACAATGGTATCCTATCTGCCAGATTGCTAGGGCAATGCTGGCACAAAGCTTGTGGAAGTAAACAACCAAAATCTTATTTGATATTAGACCCACTCCATGAGAGGGAGCCCAATGGTGAGACTGCTTGGTGACCAAGAACCTGAGACTAGGTAGCCCAGGGGCTAGTGGAAAACCCTGTGCTATCTTTTTATTAAAGGAATGTAGCAATTAAATGACTCCTAATGAAATTCTCCTATACTCATAAATCAGTCAGTTCCTTGCTCAGCCATCATTAGAGTATCTTCCTTCCAGAACAGATGAGAATAAATACAGAGACCCACAGCGAGACATACAGAGAGAGAAAGACTTTTGAACATTCAGACTTAAATGAAACGTCTCCATAAAATCCATTCCTTCAGGTCTCAGGAATCCCTGTGAAAAAGTTTAAGAGCCAGAAGGAATGAGGAACACCAAAGAAATGAAGCTTTGTAAATATAATAGAACCAATGCACATACAAATTCATAGAGTCTCACAGCAGCATGCCCAGAGCCTGTATGTCTCTGTATCAGATGGGAGTCCTAGAACATAAAGGAGAAGTGAACACATGTCCTTGTCCCTAAGTCACAAGGTATCTCCTATTGATTACTGTAGGCAAATGAAAATTTAGTTTTCTCCAAGGATGTCTCACTGTGGAAACAATCCACTCTTTAAGGGTAGGCTACTTGCCCTACCTTGTCAACAGAAAACAAACTCAAACTCAACAAATAACATCTTTGGATCTTTGGCGGTTAGTGTTGGGCCTTTAAAAAAAAAAAAAGAAGGCTTTAGGGACACTATTAGAACAAGACATATCTGTGTTTAAAGTTAATAAGTTGAAGGGCTTTTCATTTGGTGTCATAATTGTGAGGGGATGAAAATAAGGAAATGGAGTATAGAGAAACTAGATCAGGAAGTGTCCCTTAGAAATATTGTTTCCAGTCCATTCTTGTTTGTCTCATCTTCAGGTGAACAACTTTTCTTCAGTATATCCTCCTGTCAGATTGCATTATCTCCCCAAGCTTGGAAGCAATAGAAGCAGTAGTTGCTCACAGAAAACTGAGTGGAAAAAAAAAAAAAAACAATCTATCCAGGGCTGGAGAGACGAATCAGTAAAATACTTGCTATGTAAGGAATTGTTTTTGGATTTCCAGCACCCAGATAAAAAACTAGGAGTAGTGACACGAACCTAATATTTTACTTATACCAATTCTTAATCCATTCAATTTTGTCCACATAAATATGGATCTCAAAATACAGTGTCAAAACTTAACCAGAACAAGCTGCCACCTGTGGAAATGGGGAAAGCTCTAATGTCAAGTCAGTGATGTGAAAACAGCAGGAGACTGACTGGGGCAGAGGGCTCTGAAATTCTGGCCAGTATGGACTACCTAAGGAAGTTGAAGATACCACTAATTAACATAGTGAAGCCTGTCTCAAAAACTGTCCCCCACATTACTGGTTGGTGGTACTGTTTTGTTTTCTAATTCTGATTCAGTAAAGAAATGGTTTGGGCAAATATAAACTGAAATTCGTTTTACCTGTTTTCTAATATCAACTCTTCTACTCTCCCAGCAACCTTTTCTTCTCATGCTTCCATCTTCCCCACACCCCATACATCTTCTCCACTCCTCACATTCCCCCAACTCCAGTCCATCTGTCCCCTCCTCACCTCCCAATTTCCCCCACACCCAATCCACCTGCCTTCTCAGTCACTCACCACCCACCCCACATCCCTTCCATCTGCCCTCCTCTCACATCCCCTCTTCCCCCACACCCAATCTGTTCTTATTCTCACCCCCACTGCTCATCCATCTTCCCTTCTCATTCCCATCCCCCTCTCCTGCTCCCATCCATCTCCATCTTTCACCTCCCACCTCCCCATACCCAATCGATATATCCTTCACCTCACTCACATTCCCCACCTTCCCAGTATCCCATCCGTTTTCCCTTCTTTTCCACCCCTGCCCCTCACCCATAGTTAGCCTATCTATCTAGAAAAGATTTAAGAGGCGTCATTTTGCTCAAATGAATAAAAAAAAAAACTATGACTGATAAAGTGAACCACTTGTTTTTATTATTATGACAATATGCTGAAATTACATTGCATATCTCTGGGTCCACGCTCGAGCCAAATTATCATACTTCCTTAAATCGTCGCGGTAGATCTTCGCAATTTCAGGAACCAGGGGTTCGTCTGGCTTTGGATCGCATAAGAGAGAGCAGATAGAAACAAGAACTTTGGAAATCGTAAGAGCAGGTGACCATTTAGAATTCAAGATATCTAGACAGATGCCTCCATTTTTGCTGATGTTTGGATGGTAAATTCGGGTCATGAACGAAACTTTGGGGGGCTTGAAGGGGTAATTGTTCGGAAAGTGGACAGACAGGGAAAAAACCCCTCCCTGGTAGGGGCTGTCTTGGGGCCCCATTATGGTCGCTTGCCAATTAAACATATTTCCCTCCACCGGCCCTGCAGAACACTGAGCCGGGGGATCTTGAGAGAATAGAAGTAACTCATTCTGGATTCGTTTAAGAGCCAAAGCCTCCAAAGCAGTATGAGCCATCTTCACTGAGTGTGGCAGCTGGTAGAAGGCTCCGTTGCACCTAGGGTATAGAGATGAGAAAATGACACACTGAAGAAGGCTAAGTCACCTTATTAGAGCGAAATTCAGAGATAGATGAGGCAGAGAGAGATTGAGAGAGAGAGAGAGAGAGAGGGAGGGAGGGAGGGAGGGAGGGAGGGAGGGAGGGAGGGAGGGAGACAGAGGCAGAGAGAGTGAGAGAGACCAAGGGTTGGAAGCATTAGCTACTAACTGTACCTGTATAGGTAGAAGGACTCCTGTGGCTTTAGGCCAAGAGCTAAAGAATCCGCTGTGATTGCCCGAAGGCTGTGATGCCTGGAGGCCAAACACAGCTGTCTGGAGAGGCTGAGATCTCCAGCTCCTGCGGCTGCCTGCTGGCGAGCAATGCTGCACAGGACCCCTTCAACGAATAACTGGATAACAGTTAAAGTGTATTCTATGACGTCACAGAGAGCAGAATGAGTGAAGAGCATGGCGGCCAACGTGGGGTTAACGTGGGGTCAGCGTGGTGTCAATGTGAGGTCAGTGTGGATGTTCACATTAGAATACTTTAGGAGAGGTGCATGTTGGGAGAATGGGGACAATGGCTGAAGCTGGCTGTGCTACACAGCTTCATAGAGCAGTTGGACTTTGATCTAATGAGTCATAGTGAACCCCTTCTACCCATTCTGAATATATTGGTCATTGCCCCTCTACTCATTACAATAGTTTGGCTATAATTTCTATATTTTTAGGGTGAATACACTATGGACCTTAATTTTATGTTTCCTAAGGATGATATTCTCTAGTATGAACAACTTTAGGAAATTTAATGCTGTGACAACATTGTTTAAAGTAACTATCAGTTACATTATTATAAAAATCAGTAGGAATTAAAATCTTCAAAAATTTAACTTTGAAGTTAAAAACATAACTTTTGATAAAAATGTGACAGAAAAGGGGAAGAAAAAGTCCTTGTTATGGCTTGCATTATTTGTAAGCAATAAATGTAATGCCAATACAGTAGTTATAGCTAATGTGATAAAAATGGGTTACATTGCTCTTAATTTTTAAAATATCTTCCTGTATAAAAACTGCTCTAGGACTAGGCAAATTGTTTTCGTTTGTCCATTTATTCTTCTTGAGTTGGGAACGTTCCCATAACTTTCTGTGTCTGATTGTTTTTCATTGACAGTTATGAAGAGTGTTGCACAAATCACATCAAAAACTTGACTAGTGTTTCTCAGTATTAAAGACATTGATAATCTGACAATTTGTAAATGAAGAGGAAACGGGGACAAGAAAGTGGACTCAGTTTTGTATTTTGAGAGTTATAAGGAAGTTAAAGCAGTTTATGATGTGTTACATGACTTTTTGTAAGCTATGTGGACTTACTTTCTTTACAGAAAACGTGTACACCCAAGAACTATTAAAATTACTAAAGAATTTCTAAAAAAATAAAATAAAATTTAGGTTCTGGACTTAAACAATTTAATGTATGGATGTTAGCATTCCTTCTCCGCTCCACCCAACAATTACCTAGCAACAGCAAGTTAATAGCCAGGGACTATTTGGCCTCCTCCTGTGCTTTCTGACTGCACCCACTCTGGCCTCTCCCCTCCCCTCCCCCTCCCCGTGTTCCTCTTCCCTTCTCTCTTTGTCCTCCTCCTCCTCCTCCTCCTCCTCCTCCTCCTCCTCCTTCTC